GTGCAAATATCCTACGGGGACAAGAGAAGCATGAAGTTGTGAGTAATTTCCATAATAAAAATTTGACTTGGACATTCTCAGGAAAACTATCCGATGACTTGCGTACCACATGTAGCAGCCAACGTAGTCCGCCGTGTTTCGCTGTACTGTCATAACAAGAGACAGATATTGATTACAGTTGCATGCAGTATTCTGTTCTTTGTGTCCCATATTTGTGTAGGTATTACTCCATCGATGAACATCTCTTGCGAGAATTGGTTGGACGGAAATTATCAGCCAAGACACGTCGGGAATTGTCCGAAATTGCCGAGCGATGTGATTTACGTGTTCGCAGTTGCAAACGCCAGTTTGACAATCTATTATGCGTGGCTCGCCGCACAGAGGATCTCCCCGGTCGGTTAGTGGACAATATTAAAACGCATTTTCTGCTACCGGATTTTCTGTGCGAATGCTATGCCGCAGTGGTGTTCATTCTTAACAATCGGTACGTCTTTATCTCGACTTCCCTTCACCATTGGTTCTAATCATATTTAGCGCCTTTATGACGTTGATCCATAATCTAATGAATCTAATACTCCATGGTTGATCATTGTTTCCTTGGTAATAGTTTTACTGTTTCTCTGTAGATACTTTTTTATTACCAACACATGACAAATATGAGCTCATTTGTCACTATGAGATAAATCCAAATTTGAAATTATAAAGGAATTTCAAGAAATGTTTACCAAATAATCTAAATTGTCTACATGCCAAACATTTGAGAGTGATTGACGAGATTTCGTCAGAAAGTGATCGCAGTCGTTAAAAGTGACACGCTCCATGGGTGTCAGTCGTTTTGTATTAAGTCGTGGTCAAGGTTCTACTATCCAGTTATCTTTTATAGGCTCTCATTCGAGCGTGACAAAGTGATTGGGGAAGAGCACGCGGAATCGTGTTCTGGCTCTAATAGCATCAATTCGATCTTTGCTCCCTTATACTTTTTTTCAAACACCGCCACAATTATCTCTGATCCGTGATATTCAAGTTGGATTCCGTCAATCGAGTTGTTTTTAAGAATAAACTGCTGACGCTGCATCCGTCTGTTCCGAAAGTACCGGTTCACCAGACTTGTAGAGACCTTTGGCAAACCTGCCCTGCCGTCTATTGTTTTCAGCGGCCTACATTGAGGTCACTGTATTTCGTCGATTTTTCTGCTGTGCAATGTTTGATTTTATCATTATGGCCTCTGAGGCGATGTCAAACTCCTTGTGAGTAACGAACATTATAGCACTCCTTGAATCTCGTACCGAGTTCAGTGGTTTGAAAGTTTTCTTGGCTGATTGCTCCGTGCTGTCCGTTTCGTGTCTGATGGACTGCGAGTGTTTGCTGAGGCAGACTGGAAACCAGAGTTGTTCATGTTGCTTGACACAAAATTAGAACTCGTTAGAGTGCAATAACGGTACTTTATTATGTTGAACCCGCTCGAAATCTTTCCGATATTAGATTAGCCGAACTATATCTTTAAATCAAACGCATGCCAGTCCATCATTCCTTTTCTTCATCGAGCAAGTCGATTGTTGCAAACAATACGAAGTCATTCATTACATGCATGCTCATCTTCGTTTCGTTTTACTCAGTTTAGTTATATATTACTTATGAGTTGATTTCATCCACACGCGTTTTCTCTCTCCAACCCGTTCACTTTGTCTCTATCGTTCAGATTTGATGTCCAGAAGCGTAGTCTAGCTTACATCACTTTTGGCGATCTGGTCTATTGTGCCGGACAGTTGATGTCTCAGTGGACCACCCTAGCCAAAGGTAATATTGCACAGTTAGAATTCCAGATCTCGCTATATGACCGCCTCCATTCATCATGCTAGATGAATTTCTGTTTTCTTTTGCAACGGCAACAAAAAACGGATTGGTCTCTAAGAAAATTTTGTTATGTCATCTAGATGCTTATCAAACTTGCCGTTTCTCAGTTATTTTCCCGTTTATGGCATCATCCTTAAATTCATTGCTTTAACTGCGGATTCCCCGAAAAAGAGAAATTTCAAATCACTTTTAGATATCCACTTTGTGCAATTATTAACCATGCACTTTCGTGCTTTGGTTTCGGTTGCTGCCTTTTGGCTGCCCATTTGAATGAAGCAGTAGGAAAAAGACAGGAATATATATATATATATGTAATATATACGTCACAATAACCTTGTTTGCAACACCGGGTGACCATTGGATAGACAGCTCTTGCAGAGCCAGTCCAATGAAGAATCAATGCCATGATTCGATGTTTTGTAAGTGGTTTAGATGCTACTAACCGCAACAAATTTGACCTGATCGTCTTGGTAGAATCTATCCCTGGAAGCACACGACCGGTTTCGCGGTTCTTGCTACTCGTCAGGCAAGCGTATCCGGTAATCTTTTGTCAGTTCATTCAAATACTTTTCCCCGGGGCCTCCAGGAATCACCACTTTTAAATCATAGCATTGATTCTTCATTGGACTGACTCTGCAAGAGCTGTCTATCCAATCGTCACCCGGTGTTGCAAGCAAGGTTATTGTGACGAGAATGCACTTCCTCAGTACAAGTATATCAATAAACTGACAAAAGATTACTGGATACACTTGCCTGATGAGTAGCAAGAACTGCGAAACCGGTCGTATGCTTCCAGGGAAATGTTGTCTAGTCAGCGCCAGAGTTTAGAGCGGCCGACTGAGTTGAAAGCTGGTTTCAGATAGAGGATGACAGAAATGTTGGGTCTACGGAAAGAATGTCGGTGCTCTAGAGTTTGGCGAAGAGTGAATATGTGGTAGATACAAACTCGATCAGGCCTAACACCCGCCTGATTCTCACGCGTGCACCGTTCACGTGCGGCAGACAATCGACGGAGTATGGTGTCACTGAGAAGTTTAGAGACGATGTTGACTAAGCTAATTCCTCTGTGGTTCTCATAAGAGGATCTGTCACCTTTCTTGTAAATCTGTATGATGACCGATTCACACCATTCAGCTGGAACCTGTTCTCTTTCCCACACTGAGCGCAGGAGTTTTGTTAACTCCAAAGCCAAAACTGAGCCTCCATCCTTAAAAACCGATGAGGTTCAGTCCATCTGGGCCCGAGGCCTTATACCTTTTGAAACAATTTATCTCTCGGGTAACCTCCATTTCAGACGGAAGACTGGCATCAACTGTGAGTATTTGCCCAGTCAATGTGGGGGGTGATAGGTCACATGTCGATGGGGGCCAGTTTAACTGAGTCGTGGATTGTTCAGCCCATCGATTGGTGTGCCATCGGATTCCCTAAATACCTCATTAAGGTCTATTTTCCTAGGGCCCGTATTCCTAATTAGACGGAAAATATTGCCGCAGCTTTCGCCATCTCTCTACACTTTTCTACCCACCACTTCTCCCGGTCATTCCTCAGACTCTTGATGAGCCGGCGTTTGAAAGATTTGTGTGCTTTGTCATATGTGGCCTCGGGAGGGAGGGACCTGCGGGCGTCCAGCATGACA